TGATAGTTAAGTCTCGCTTCCTGCTCCCATTGTCAGAGATTTCTCTCATTCTAATGTTCACTCTCGGTAGCCTGAAATTCTCACTTGGATATATTTTTAGGTATATTTATCAAAGCACCAAAATTGCAGTGGCACGAGGTATAAAAGCAGGCACTATTTGATTAAACTGAATAAACCACTTAATTTGCAGGGTAATAATGGAATTAGATACGCTCAATTGTCTATGATATTTACCAGAAAGTTTTCATGCTGTCTGAGTTCAGATAGTGTAAAGGAAAATTAATCCTATTTACATCAAAAGAGCATTCTTAGGGCTGACAGTAATATCGTTAGTCGGTAGTTAATGACTTATGGTAAATGCAACAAATGTTCGTCACTATATGCTATCAATTAAGATGCCATTGACATAAGCAAACACAAAGACGAAGCCTTCTAGAACCCGGTTCATGAAACTATGGAATGTCTGTACCATGTAGTTTAAACGAGAAGTCGACCAAATTAGCAGATATAAGCCAATTTGTGAGCTAAAAGCAGTTTTAATCTCGTCTTTTGGGGCCCCGGGAATCCGACAATTATCCTGGACAAGGTCAAGTCCTGAAAACGTTTTAATCTCAGGAAAAGTTTTAAACATGTCGAACGGAGTACTGGCCAGGGACTGTAGCATTTATCGAGTGCTCAGGGTGTCCAGTCACCAGACGTCTAAGCGCCATAGGCATTGAAGGTGTCCATGGGCCATTGGAAGTTTGAGTAATGCCAAGTCAACGCTCATGTTTGCATTCGACATCTGTTGCCACAAGCCTTTGGGCTCAAAGCATCAGATCCTAGCGTTTTCAGTTGATCTTTAGCCAAGAGATGGCTCATGAATTGTTGTTTATGTCTGCTGAGTGTCTAGGTCGTTTGGATGGGATCCCGGACACTCAGTCAGAAACAACTTAAACCCGTTAAGGGAAAAAGAGGCGAAGAAATTTCAAATAAATTTAATAGGGTCGGATAGGGTAGTATCTTGTCGATGTGCTCAAGCTAGCCGAGGTCCGTTATAAAACTACACAGGCCAATGAAAATTTGCCCAAGTTATTCGTCACTGGACTTTGGCCACATCAAAAAAGGAAAAAATTGTCATTTTGGTCAAATTATCATTCTGAACAAAAGAGGAGTCAGAGACTGCTTTAAGCTTAAGGCCAGAAGGCTTGAAGTGGATCTTACCCGTTGCTGTGGGGAAACGTCAACCTCAACACCGGTGCCCGTCATTAATGTGAAACTGCTAGCTTGGTTTTTGGCGTAAAAGCGGCAGGTATTTTGATTGACCCGGCTACTTGTCACCTCGTCTAATCAAACGTCTCGTTTTCGGAGGTTCAATGGATATGTTGGTCATTTACAAGTGCGGCCTTACCACAATGATAGTAGTAGTATCGGCCTTATACATGTTGTGCTCTTGTGTGATTAGAAATATGAGCCGTCCACAAGAAATCTGGTTCATTCTCTACAAGTGGTTGCAATCTGTTCTATTACCTCAACCATTTATGAAATCAGAATTGGTGGTTCTATCCTACACCACCAGAGTTTTTTTTCTTCGGCTTTCAAGTGTCACGTCAAGGCTTCGGAACAATAGATTAGCGGGTGAAGTGGCTAGTAAGCAATTAGCTCAAAGTTGGCGCAAGACTGAGTCGTCGTTTTTGTTGCTGAAGGCCAGAAGGAGTAAGTGTAGCAGGAGTTGGTGCAACGACCTGTTACCTATTTCGACACCGAAAAGTAAGTATTTTTTAAACTGGTTCCTAATAATCCGTTTCTTCTTTTGAGAACAACAGTCTTCAGCTTATCATTCGGTATCGAATCAAGGAATTTGTTTTCAATTTAAATTTCAGCTGAAGAACATGAAAGCAGAATGCAGAAATAAGGGGTTCGTTGCTCTTTGACACAGAAATAAGCTTTGATTTCCTTGAGGCATCCTTGAAATTTGACTCAGAGGGACCATAATTAGACAAAATTATATTTTCGATTAATTACAATTGGAGGTGATAATCGAAGAGTCATTCAGAGTCCAGGTAAATGGACCGTTAGACCTTTGAGCATGGTAACCCATTGTAGAGTTTCCACTACATTTGCAAGCCTATTCCTACTTGCCGCCCATGGAGAACAGGTGGAAACGGGCACAAGGGCATATTCGGCCAAATAAACGGTTTTGCCGGTGGCAACATTCGTCTATCTATGACGGCAGCATGTGAATAGTGAACTGACGTCAATACGTGAGACAATAAACAAGCATAAAACATCCGAACTTTAGAATTGATTGCTAACATCTACACACGAGAACGCTCTTAAAAACAGTTAAGTGTTTTTGTGGTCAAAATAATGTTAGGTTTTACCATAAGTGGGGAATACATTCTTCTTTCTTCGAATTTTAGTGATAGCTGGTAGTGCTATCTCGAGACCTACAGTCCTATTACTAGAACGACAAATTGGTGGTATTTATTGAAACTGCTTGTCACCGTGTAACACTACCATTTTGTAGTGCAGGAGTCTGTGGTTGGAGCTACCAGGACGTATTTGTTTCATGCGACTACTCCCCAAACTCCGTGAACCAAAGACGGAGTAAAAACTCAGTTCCATAATTTTAACCATACACGTTGTTACTAGATGAACGAAATGGAGGTTGAACATATACTTGACTGAGTATTTTAATCATATTTCGTTCATTCACAAAATAGGCTATTGGATGTTATCTTGTAGGCAATTTAAAATTATCTGATTCCTCATTTTTTGCTTACAGTATCAATCGGATTTGCTACCTTAAGGTTTTAATTGTGAAGGACATGGAAGCTTCACAATAGGCTAGTTGTCAATCCGTAGAGCAGTTTAACCTCACTAGATACCTACATTGCAAGTACATTTACCCCTATACACACCAGTACCTAAAAATCGAAATTAATTTATTTGATTTTTAGAGTGTTAGTTCGATATGAATAGCAGAAGTACGCCGTTTTGTCATTTTTCTTGTTCACCACTAACCGTAAGATTGTAAGGACGATCAATTGCATTTGCTTTTTATTCGTTTAATATAGAAGAGCCCACTTAATATACAGCTGGTTTTTTGTTTGGGATCAACGTACCCCGAGATTGTTCATCGTTGGTTTTTGGCACTGTTAACACTGATTCCCTAACATGTGTTTTATTACGCTTTCAATCAAGTCAAGGTTAACCTCGACTTGAATTAGTTTTACTTTCGACAAATCACTCGTACGTGGCTAACGTGATTAAAGCTCCCTACACGAGCTCTGGCCTTGTTGTTGTATTAGCGTGGGAAGGTCGGTCCTAGCTTTAACAAGGGATCTGGTACCCTTTTTTTTTCTGTTACGAGCAAACGCAACACTTTTAACCAAGCCATAAAACTATATGGTGCAAATAGAACGTCCAGTGGTGTTTGCACTATTGTAAATGGCAACAAAAATGCCTACAATCGATCAGAACAATTCGATTGTAAAACTAAAATTTACGTGGTCATAAATCCACTGAATACATAAATTTGGACATTAATGTGTGTACGCAACACCCTACTGCTTGAAGCATACATGAAAGTGGTGGAATACACTTTATTCCCCATCTTCCAGCACCTCCATCTTCCTTAGAAACAGCCCCTAAGCTCACAATAATCAAGAAATAGTGATGAGTCACGAAATTGTTGGAATTACGCAGGGTACGCATTCTAAAAAGACAGCCACTGGAACCCGGGACTGCTTGCATGAAAATATTTGTAACGACTAGATTGGACGGATAGGTGCCTAATAATCACACGTAAGCTTACATCAAAGACGCTCTTTTTAAACTGCATTTCATGAAAAACCTCACCAAGTCGTGACTCAGTGGAAATTTTTTTGGGGCTTAGAGAATATTAGGGACGGAAAAAGTTCTTTTGACAAAGTGTCAATACATTTAATATCTCATGTAAACCAGCGCTTAAAACATGAGTGTTAATTTCCACCGCCTTTTAAAATGTATTCAATTCTGGTAGTGGTGCAGTCAGAAGCACACAAATACGGTAGGAATCTTTACAGGAGAAGTTCCACCAACAGAAAAAGTAATGTTTTACTAATTACGGTGTAAATTAGCGCTCTAAACGGGGCATAAATTCTAATTCATCAGTCGTAATTTATCTTTACATTGGTAAATTTGACAGCACCTTCAAGGCATGCGTCATCAGGCAATTTTTCTCGGCAACGCCTTGATTGAAACTGCAATGGTGCCCACAAGTGCCCGTCGTCCGAGTCTCCGTTAATAGAAACCTTCATTCGCAAATATCAATAGCTAGAAAACCGACAACGTAAACTAATTAATCCGTTATATTCCGTGTAGCGATCGATAAGAGTCGATAATGTGCTGTTAAGGGGTTCAATCCAATTCATTGTGGATCATTCGATCTTCAAACAGACCACCTCGGCGAAGTCTTAAAACCCTCCAGCTTTCACTTCCATATACATGTTGAATAATTAAGGTCGAAAGTGACTAAAAATCTACCTTCATGTTAACAACAACCAACAAGCCACTTGCAGTCACCGTCATCTTGAAAGGGGAATCAAAGCTTACAAGACCTCAGTTTTAAGTACAAACAAATACTATAGACCCTAGTCCAGGCAATTACTATTCCAGTAAATTAGGATGACAAAGATTACCGGTTTGGGACCAGGGATAGTTAAATAAACATGTCGAAAAATAAGGGCCAAGCTAAGATATCCAATTTTAGTGGTGTTCTTAAACGTGACTGTTAGTTATGTTCCTAAAAAAATCAGTGTCATTACAAACTTAAGAATTGACCATACACAGACCGCTGTTACCTCTGTACTAAATTGATTTTGTGAAAAAAGTGCTGGATACGAACATGTAGTTGGTGTATGTTTATTTAAAACAAGGATACGACATGTCCAACCCTGTTCCCTTTTCGCATAGTCGAAAAAGAAATGCTGAAGAAGTCAGTTCTATTGACCAAACGACAGAAGAAAGCAGCAATTTCAAGATGGAGAACTCCGTTTCGTGTAAAAGTTTTCAACCTGGTACCAAGTTTAAAAAAGCTGTCTCCTTACCAATTTACGAATGTAATTGCGCTCGTCCTTTGCCTTAGTGGAATCATTTTTTTGATGTACACTTTCAACGGAGTAGGGAGGTTTTATAACAGTTTGTTCGAGGACATGGAGATCAGGTTTTTCCCAATGAACAGGCATTTTTGGATCCGCCGGTAAGCTTAATAGACATAACAATATTATGGACCACTTACGTTTTAGACAAATGCTCAGCAAGATCGCGCACATTTTTTGGGACATCGGATTCGAAAAGCTTCAATCGCTCACGTTCCACTTCTTCGTTATGAAGGGACCGTGCGGCTATCTAGACAGTAATACAATTCCAAGATAATTACCTTGTCTAAATCAATCTCGGGAAACGATGTTACACTATTCTGTTTAACTATCCGCATATCTTTTACGTTATCATGCCGATACAGGTACACGTCGTACGTATTCTGGAGACCAGATTTCGCGGGCCGCTCTTAAATAAGCAATGACTGAGCTCACAGGAACTTACGAAACATGAAGAACTTCCTATTATCATCGGAGAACAAAATCTCACCGTCCAAGTTTTCACCTTCGTCGGAGGTAAAGAAAACCTGCACACCAGGCCGAAGATTCTTCAGCATAACTAGAACTCGCAAGCAGCTAAATTGGCTAGAAGGGAAGCGTCGAAACCAATCAAAATTAAGTCCGAAACTGTATCAAAATGTTGGGAGAGAATTCAAAGTAGACGAAAAAAGTGACGAATAAAACATTCGCAATGCATTGAGTTACAAAATCTGGTACAACATAAAAGTTTCAATTAGTGGTAAAAAGGTGTTGCAAGAGTCCAGAGACTTGATTATAGCCAGAGTAATTATATTTTGTATACTGGTCTAAAATGCCACATTTATTGACTCAAATCAGCTTCAAAGGGCTGTTGTGTTGGGTTGAATTTTCAGAATAGTTAAGCATTCTTCAGGCAACTAAAATGAAGGGAATATTTTGATTCTCATGAAACAAACGACATATTACCAGACGCAATTTCCAAAAACAAATTTAACAATTTTCCTCATGTACATTTACTAAAGACATCAATTTAACAGTTTTGCACCTTTTACCCGAGATAAATAAAAGGCATTGTCAAGGTTTGTGATAAGATCTTAAAAGACCAGGCATCCGAATTATTACCAGAAATGATTCTTCACAAAAAACTGCAAAAAGTGCACATAGATTGACTACTGGGTGTAACTTTTGTGCAGTAAAACATATCAATATGTCATATTTTCTCAAAAACATGGGATCAGCAAAATTATGAAAACGATATGAAAGAAGGGGTTGAATTTCTTTTTATAGGTTTTTGCCGCAGGTGTGTATGTGTGGGTTAAAAACGATTGCTGATAACTCTGTGAGCTAATCCTTAAGCCCAAGATCGAATTTTATGAAAAATAGGCTACTTTGTTAGATAAAAAGTCATTATTTCTTAACATAAAAATCGCAGACTTCACGGTTCTTGACAAATAAATCATATTTTGGTACTGCAATACGCTTTTCTTCAACTGCTGCTACAGTGGTCAACAATGTACCTTAAAGCAATTTAGCATCCATTTATTTAAAAGTCCTTTTTGTAGCAATTGTAACTTAAAAAATGGTTTATGCTTTATTTTGATAATATCACAACCATTCGTCGGTTTTCAAGAGTCTTTAAACTCAAATCACTCCCTTCTATTGAGTTGGGATTATGATCAAAAAATAATCCATAAAGTTGTTTAAAAAATAAAAATAAAGGATTGCTAACATATTTAATTGTTGCAAATGAAATATCCTAAATTTTGATTTATCTCACTCTTTTTGAACGTAGTCAGTTTGAAATGTTCGGGCGTCGCTTCGGTGCGCAACCAATGCCTGTGGCTGCAGTAGGCGACTCCGATCATCCTTTGAACACTTCTTTATCTAGTCCAAAAGTATTGTTTGTACCTTAAGTTTCCAATTAATGTAGGTGTGGAAGTCTCCAACCTGGCCATTTATTATAGCGGGCATGCCGTTATGTGTTCTTTTAGTTATATTGGGATTCCTATTTATTCGGCTGCCGGCTATCCCAGAGTAAGTTAACGTAAAAGATAAGGGATTTCGTTCTAGGGATCAGCGGCAGTTTGTTAAGCTACCAAGAAATTTGGATGACTTAAAATCGCTCGGATCCACGCTATCCGTCTATAAGGGTACCTGCTACTGGCGAATTCTCATAGCAATCACCTTTGTCTACATACTGTATCCTTTTTGTAGCTTTAGTTTCTAAAAATTATTTATATGCAAGATTGTTTACGTTTAGTTACAACACATACTTGCACTTGTGAGGGCCCTGTTGCGATAAGATGTTTGACTCCGGGCCATTTCTGTGCCATTTTTGCATGTATTGCGAAGGTGAGGAACTGAGATTGTGCACAAACTTAATTTCGATTCCTTTTAGAATGTCGTGTAGTTCGCAATGTGACACAGTTTTTTGAATTAATATACTCCTAACTCGGTGATCGCAACATTTTCCATGCTCAGAACCCTCATCATCCCAGCCAGATTTAGCCCATTTTCACAAAACATCTTCAGCTTATTTGGCGGTGTCCTTAACTCACTACGTAGCATGCAGTCTTTCATGATCCCGGGCTCCGTCTTCTGTAGTGTTCTTCTTGGATTTCTATTCCCTATTCCACTGGCACTATTTGTTATAGCCTTTGTACGATCCAATTTGTTTCATAACCTTCTGTTATAGTGTTCGGCTGTTGGTGCTTCATGCTGTTATGTCATAGCTAATTTCATTGGAAGTAAAACTATATTGAAACTTTACCCCGAACATGTCATGTCATGCCAAATGATGGTAAGCTTTGTCTGTTCTATACGTCATGTCATTATTAGATGAGCCGGTTCAAGAACACAATGTGTTTTGCCATAATTCTCTTTCGTCTAAGCCCGATCATCCCCAATTGGCTGGTAAACATCTGCTCACCTTTGCTTGGTGTGCCCTTATTGGATTTCTTCCTTGGCACATTCATCGGTGAGTTAATTTTTTTCCGTGTCGCTCAGCATTTTTTACAGCAATTTAACTAAGATATTTTTACCGTCGTTAGGAAAAGATGCATTACCTATCTCGATAAATGCACAGGTTCCTCATTTAGGAAAACTTTAGAAATCTTCCTACTAAAGGGCAGGTTATTGGTAAAGGATTCGGAGATCGCTACATTTCAAATCAAGTCAACCTCACGCTTTGTTAATTGTGAAACTATTTCGTAATAAAACATTAGAAGTCTAATTCAAGTGGTTTAAAAACGGTTGTAACACTATGATTTGGCTTGTAATATGTACCTAGTAGGAGGTCGTCCGGTGTTAATACTTAATCATTTGTTTCTGCTTGTTTGATTTTTAGAAAGTTGCGTCATTTTGAAGAACACGTAATTTTGCTTGGTGCTCGCGAATTTTATCTGAAAGCTGATTCCATTTTATACCTAATCGAATTTGTTGTTGCTCTCCACATTAATTGGCCATGTGAATATTTGTGCCCCATAAGATGTTTAGGTAAGCGTGTGTGCAGAAATCAGTTTACTAAAGAGGCGAATTTTGGTGACATGTGTATTACAAATGCCTGTCTAGCGGACATTGGCAACAATAGTTTTTCGGCCTTATCCCTTTGCTGCAGCTGAAGCCATTCCCCTCTGTTTCTTCGTTTATAACTCATGCACTGCGAGTATTGCGATTTTATTACTGTCGTACTCATTATCTACTCGCCACTTTACTAAGCAGCTAAAATCGTCTGGTTGTTGGGTCCTTCAATGTTTACCTAATTATGATGCGTAGGTGTTTCCTGCGAAAATATGTGGTTAAAGGCTTGAGATGACATGCTTGTTCTGTTTAGACGTCAATTCCGAATGCCAGTCCACAATCGCCATCACCACGTTCATGTAAACATCAAACATTACGTGAATCTAAATCCTCGTGTTTGGTCAATAATTGCGTCTTGAGATTTTACGAGTGGGTCATGTGTACGCTGTGCTAGGAGCAGTGAAAACCAATTACGAAATACAGATGTCATGCTAGCCGATTGAGGTGGCACTTTCGAGCAAACAGTAGGTTTTACAGAAATGCTCTATTTAATGAAAAGTGGCCACTTCCTTTATCTTCACGTAGACATTACGCAACAACACAACTTGTTCGAATGTACCCTTAGAGCATATTTTTATTTGGTGTAAAAATGTACGCTTGTGTTTTGTTTTCGTGCAGAACATCATACCTATCTCTGGTTTCTTTAATCAGAAGTGGATATTAACATTTCAAAAATGCAGCTAAAGTATTTATCGAACTTTAAAGTCGTGGCTTGATGCACTTGAGGGACATTTTCATTAAGTTTGCGTCTAGGCAATGTTGAGCATATTACGTAATAAGTGCTGGAATATTCTCTTGCTCAAGAATTTCTGCTACGCTACATAAACTGCCTAGAAAAATTTCCAGACGAGAAATTTGTTCCCGCTTTGACTCGTTCTAATTTTCGTAAATAGCCGTAAGCATTTGTGTTTTATAAAACTGGTAAATTTTCTCTTATGGTCTTTCTACTTCTCTGCCCTAATTATAAGCAAATTTAAAGACATCTGTCTTATCATGGTTGCTAATGCCAAGTTATGTGCTGCAGAACGTTGTTAGACATCCCTGACCATTTATTCAGGTATCACTGATAGTTATATTTCCTGCAAATTTGCGTACCCATACCGTTCCTCCCATGGGGTATCGACGCTCTTCAAGAGGTTAGGGTGCTGAATTCACCCAGTATCAATTTTCCTCGATGTTAGAGCGGCGCAAATGTAAGCACTGACGCACTGCCAGTAATAATAATCTGTTGAAGGCCCCGGCATGTGGTCTTGAACCACAATTCAACCTAGTTGTGTTGTGTTGACTGACATAGTTGAGTGGAATAGTGAAAATACAGACGTGTGAATGGTCACATGACTAGAGCGAGTGGTGGTGGTGCATACAGAGGGCTGTTCTAGTGCCTGATGTGCACGCCGTGAAATGGTGAAGTGTGAGGCTGCGACGACTAGCTTGTTACACGTGAATCAACACGATTCAATACGAAACGGGAACTTTTTAACGTCCGCTATGTATTTAAATTTACTTAATATGAATTAACTAACTTGTCCCTAAGACATCAACTGAAAGTAAATTTCCGATGGAATGTATAGGCACGGAATATATTATGTACTCATAGTTTTTTGGGTACATCACTGAAGCATAGTTCAGTTATCAGTCATTCCTAGCTACTATATTGCTTTTTGTTATGTTAAAAAAACTCCTTGACGCTTTTTTTCGATTTTTTTTGTAATTTACGGCAACTTTTTTTCTATTCCTAACAGGTGTCGTGCCGCTGTCATTGTTTTTTGTCAAAGCCGGAACAATGTTACAGGAGTTAACCGACATTGGTGTAACATCTGTAGCCTCTGTTTCCACTCTGGTCATATTCGCTGTGATCTCTCTCGTACCGTTTATCTTTCAGGAGCAAATCAGGCGAGCACTTTCAAGTTAAGCCTGGAGCTCCTTCGCATATATTTTTCAAGAAATTGTAAATTAAATCCTTCATCCCATATTTTGCCTTTAAATGTGCTCTAGAACAAGCTCCTGTAGCTGTCATTCTGTGGTAGTAAATTTCCTCGAGGATGTCATTTTCGAACAATGAATTCTCAGTTGTTTCTGTTTAATCAAACCATGATTGCGATGGGTACTGTACTTTCGTGAAAATGAGCTCTTACTATACAACCACGTTTCTTATAAATCAATCGAGCATCTCGACCAGGCGTTTTTCCGTCAATCTAATTTTGTACCTAATGATTAAATAGCCAGTTATACTGTACTAGAGTTGTGAACTATCTCGATGGCAAATCATTTCTGAACGCGAAAATTTGGCGGACGTATTCATAAAGCAAATAACTTGGATAAACCGGTAGCCACCAAAAACACCTAACTTTGTCCTTCTCAATTCCTCTATCGATTACGACTGGCATGTTGGTGATGCACTACCTTGTTTTGTCCAAGTTCGTACTAAGCGTATGCTTGTATTTTCTAGTTTTGTATGGAGGCATCTATTAGCAAATAATATCCAGAGGAATTGTCACAAGACACAGGTGAAGGTAATTATTAATCGTTCCGGTCACGTGTTTGTTTTGGTTACTCCATACATTGCAACGAAGCACCTAAGTCAGTGGAGGACTATTCGAATGGCATGAGAATGGGTTGGCTTCTCGCAGGTACATAGGGGAACAATTTCCATGGTAAACTGTAGGTCTTGTTGTGGATATAGCTTGCAGCCTTTTTGGCAAATGTTGTCCATCATTAAGGGTCATTAATTTTTGAAAAAATACAAGCAATGAGCCAGTCAATATTTCGCAAAATGTGAAAGGTGCCTGAAAGTGTGGCTCCTACCGAATTGGTGGATGACATGCTTCTGGTTCAGCAAAACATCCAGATACTTTGCATGAAGTGGTCCATCATCAAAAAATCACCTGAATTCTCAAAACTGACGTGACATTGACCAAATCACCAACTTTTTATGACGCATTCCTGCACAGAGTAGACAAGGATTAATGAAATTTAAAGTTGCAAAGAATGCTGTTCAATTGAAACTAGCTATAAATGATTGTGACGTTGTATTTGTGCGGCAATTTCCTTAAATCGAGATTGATCTTCACTATCTTGTAATTTATTGGCCTGAGAACACTTGGATGACAATTCATGTATGCACCGTCTAAGCTATTGTTATTTTGATTACGATCAGAATAACAGAAATTGAATTGTCGTCTATCGAAACCGAGATTGCAGACTATTAAAAGGCGCATTTTTTAATCATTGCTGAAAATTAATCAGTTGCTTCCGCTAAAATCATTGATTTCTAATCCTGTTGATCAAATTTAAATTTAGTTGTTTAGTTTGTGCGACACAAATGAGCTCATGCTGAAGACAGCATTACGTAAATTTCGCGCCTTAATTATTCGAAGAGCGACATGTAAAATAATAAATTCGTTTCATAACACACCAAGAATTGCATGCACAAAATTTAGTCACTGCAGGATAATTGAGGCCTCAGCTGATACATTGATTTGATTTGACATTAAACCGACTCTTTAGTCATTTCCCGGGAATGTACTTTAGCTCATTGACAAAAAAAGTAAGTTCACTTTTGATTTTTTGTTCGTTTACGAATAGCTTGGCTTGTAGAATAGACATTCCAAGTAGGATGGAGACTGTTACAACAAAACAGGCTTCACTGATTAATCACAGGCCAGAACCACACATCAGGTGGCGTCCAACCAAGACCAATACACTGGCTACAGCACAGGCAGACACACGATTAGCTGAGGCCAGCGTGGGCCAATATGTCTGCGCCCTTAGACGTCGTCACAATGCCAACTCCTCAAGAGTAAAGCTGTCCTCAGCTTCGGGCTTGTCTCTTTGCACCGTCCATGATTGTTGAAATATCCAGTTCGACACCCCCAACACCCCACATCTGGCAGGATAGTGGCCCACGCGAACAGTTAACGAGGGACATTGGTCTTGTAGACTTGTAAGAAGGTCGCTTCATCCATCGTAGATTCCTTCGCATTTGCAGTCCACCTGACTTCTACTGGTAATTTCGTCGCCACTGAGTTGCCAATTTTCTCATCAGATGTAGCTATCCTCATCCCGGACAAAGTCTATGTATCCAGTGTATGGGACATCGGATGACCACCACGACATATTCAGCTTTCATTTAAGGGTCCTGGCCTCTGTTGACCCTAGAAGAGAAAGGGCTGAAGTTCGATTCGCGATATATTCAAACGCATCTGCTGCCACCAATATAGAATACCCGAGCCCTAATAGGAAGAAGACTAGTACAACAGCACAAGCTTTATTAGCCAATTACAAGCCAGAGCCACAAGTCAGAGGCCATCCATCCGAGTCCACCGCACTGGCCATACCGCTCATTATAAACAGCAACTCACTGGTTGGCTGCTCATCTTCCCCGCAAGCCATTGGAACGCAGAGAGACACAGGATTGGCTGAGGCCAGCGTCAAATATCTCTACGCCCTAATCCGTCGCCACACTGCCTCCCCCTCAGCAGTGAAGCTGTCCTCAGCTTCTGGCTTGGTTCCTTGCACTATTGTTGATATCCAGTGTTGGTAAAATATCCAGTTCGACACTCCCCGCACCCGACATCTGGCAGGATAGTGGCCCATGCGAATAGTTGACGAGGGACTTTGCTCTTGTAGACTTGCAGGAAGGACACTTCATCCATCATAGGTCCATTAGCAGTTGCAGTCCAGCTGGCTTCTACTGTCCATGTCGTCGTCGCTGAGTTGCCAACGCCTCTTCAGATGCAGTAGTCCTAATCCCGGGCAATGTCTATGGATCCACTTTGTTGGACATCGGATGAACGCCATGACAATTTCAGCTGGCATTCAAGGTCTTTGCCTGTGTTGACCACTGAAGAGAAAGGGCTGGGGTTCGATTCGCGTTATTCAAACGCATCCGCTGTCACCACTGTAGAATACCCGGTCCATAATAGGCGAAAGACTGGTACAATAAAACAGGCTTTATCGATTAATCACAAGCTAGAGCCACACGTCAGGCGCCTTCCATCCGAATCCACCACGTTGGCCACGCCGCCAATTATATACTGCACCTCAGTCGTGTCCTCTGGTTGGCTGCTTATCTTTCTCGTATGCCACTGGAACACAGAGAGACAGAGGATTGGCTGCGGCCAGGTGGTCCAACATGTCTGCGCCATGGTCCGACGTCAAAACATTTGTAGGTTTCGGCCCCATGGTATAGTGAGGAAGAGAATGAGACAAAATGATTTTCTTTAATAAAGGATGAAACTCGCGAC